TTATAATTATTAATGTTGTTTTTGGTCTTTTTAGACCATTAAATTGGAAGTTTGGAAAGTTTAGGTAGAAAAATTAAATATAAAGTCAAGAATTAAAAATATATTAAGGTTTGACCAGACATTAATCCAAAAAATACGTAGGAGAACGAGGAGAAGCATGGTTTATATTACATTTTTTTTGTTAAGGTAAAGTACATAATTTTAAAACACAACATTATATCATATAGTTAGTTATAGCTACCATTTAATTTTATATTTCAAACATCCAGTTTCCGAGGAACATGTGCTGTCGCTTTGCCGGCACATTATCCTCCCTCCCATTTCCACTTTTTTTTTTTTTTCTTTAAATACCCATATTTTAGAAATTTATTAAAATATTTTAAATTCTAACAAATTTCTGTATCACTTTCGATATTTTTTAAAATAAGACAATAATTTAACCCAAAAAAATTACATTTTTGTGCTTTTTGGATTTAGGGTTTGTGCCAAAATATTTGTTTATTTAATTTAATATTGGTTAGTTATTTTGAGCTTCTCATTAAGCATGTTACATAAAAAGAATAGGAAGGGAGGTGGGTTAATTGAATAAATATTTATTTTAATATATACTCAAAAGAGAGAATTGAAAAGGAATAAAAAGTACATTACATTTAATTTAAAAAATTAACAAAATTTAATATATATTATGTCACATTTAGAACAAAAATACGTCTCGAAATTGGGTTTATAATCTTAAAAATCTTATAGATTCTTCATGAATAAATAGATACTTATTTTAAATTTTGAGAAAAACATTTTTATAATAAAATTTAAAAATGAGAAAAAGATTAATAATGGAGAGAAATTGTGGGACACGCGCGCGGCGTTCCGGAAGGTGGGGGAAGCAGAAGCTGAGCGTGGGTACGGTGGAGATAGGTGGCGGTGCCTGCATGGCGGATATGCCACGTCATTAAAAAGTGGGGCCCAAGATATGGACGTCCACGTGAAGAGACCATGGCACCACGTCGGTAAATGCGGTGAATTATAGTTGTGCAAATTGGTGTCTTTCACCGTTTGTCTAGTCACCCTCGCATGCAATGCATTAAATCTGATTGTTCCCCAACACATGCCTTTCGACCCCACTAACCCCTTTCTCTTCTCGTTGACTACGTGGCATTTCACCCTCCAAAAATGATTTCAAAAAAAAAAAAAAAAAAAAAATCAAGCTATAAAATTTATTACTATTTGAAATCTATAATGAATTGGCACGTCAAACTCCAAATCAATAAAGTTTAATGAAAAAAAAAAAAAAAACATAATTGATGTATAATCTTGTACGAGCTTAAGGTCACCATTAGATAATGTTTCGTTCCCTCCTTATCTAACGTGAGATCTCACAATCCATCTCTTAAAGGTCAACATCCTTGCTGACACACCACATGATGTCTATCTCTAATACCATTTCTAGTAGTCCAAAGTTCGAGTTGTTTGTTTTATCAGCTTCACAGTTTTGAAACGTGCTTATTAGAGAGAGGTTTTCACAGCTTTATAAGGAATGTTTTGTTCTCTTCTCGAATCAACGTGGGATCTCACAAATCTCAACGAACAAGTTCAAATAAGAATTCTCGACCTCCAAATCTTGTCAAACTAAAAAAGACCTCCAAATTTGAATTATCGAGCTTACATTCTTCCATACACTTCTCAATCTTAAAAAAATAAACTAAAAAGTAAAGACTTGATCCATTAAATTAAGTTGTTTAAATTCATATATAACCTTGAATTTGTGATTAAGTGAAGGATTGATGAAAAGATGTATGATTGTTCATCCCCCGATGGGTAAGGGCATTTGAAGGCTATGATTTTGCACGTGATAGTGCCTCTATGAAGACAGCCATCTGATTTGATGAATCATACAAAACAGCATGGTCTTACAATGAATTATAGCCCCTTGATTCGATTAATCATTCTAAATGGAATGCAAGAAGAAAATAAGAAGAAAGATCCCAATCGAAGCTTCAAAGTTTTTGAGAAGTCATCACAAAATGGGACCCTCCCACTTCATATATATATATATATATATAATATGAAGCCTCAATTGCCAAGGCATCAAGCATTCACGAGTTCCACATATCTCTCCTTCAATTCCGACCACCTTAAGGAATCCAAAACTGTCTCAAATTTGGTGTCTTTAGCTTACTTTCTACGCTTTGATCTCCTCTTATAAGCACAAAAAAAAAAAAAACACTTGTTTGGATCCATAAATGAGGCCCGTTCATGTTCTTGCTTCTCTTCTCCTTATGTTCTTCCTCTTTGATCACTCTCAAGGTATACAACTTTTTTGCAATTTGTTTTAGATGGGTTTTGTTGTTTGATGCCCTTATATGCTTTAATGGAACAAGTTTGTGTTTGTGAAGGTGTTCGCTTGGGGAATGGGCTGATGAAGCCACTGCTGCTCGGAACACCACTTGTGAGTTTTCCCTTTAAAGCTTTCTCTTCCAAGATCTCTTATCTTGATGGCTAATATATATTAACTACAGGAAGAGGAGGTTCCATTGGTGGAAGAAAATGGGCATTGTAATTCAGGTTGGGCTTAAGTTTTGTGCATTAAATCTTGCCGAACGGGACATATTCCACTCTTTATTATGCATCACATCGCATATCTAAAGTGGGTTTGACATTTATGATGCAGGGAAAAGTAGAAAACTTCTGATGGAAACTTCACCATCATCTCCAACCCCTTCCACAACAAGGGTTAGTCTTAGTCTTAGTCATAGTCATCTCGGATTTTAAAACCTAACAAATTTACGTGAAGTTCATACAAGAACAACAATTGATTAGGTTGGAAATGACTCATGATCGAAATATGTCGAAACAAATAAAAGAAGTAAAAGAGCTTTTGAAATGAAGAAATCTTAAACACTCAACTTTTCAATTCTTTTCATTGTTTCGACATATTTCGATCGTGGGTCATTTCCAACATTTGGTATCAGAGTCATGTCGTTAAATTAGCAATATGAATAGAATTCTCAAAGGGTTGAACCCCAAAGGGTGAGGACTCCAGAAAAGGAGTCGAGCCTCGATTAAGGGGAAGTTGTTCAAGGGTTCCATAGGTCTCCGGGGAGGTTCTATAGTGTACTTTGTTCGGGAGTCCCACATTGGCTAATTTAGAGAATGATCATGAGTTTATAAGTAAAAAATAGCTCTCAAACAAAGTCATGAGAGCTTATTCTCAAATTGGACAGTATCATCATCCTTAACAGAGTTGCGTGGTTTGATGTTTAGAATAAAGAAGGAAACAAAAAGGGGAACCCGGGCATGAAAGAACAGGACATGAAGAGTTCAAAGGCAGTTTCTGAGAATCTTGAGGCAGGGCATGAACAACAACAACATTATCCAGACCTCATAGAGATAGCAGAAATGGACTATTCTCCAGCAACAAGAAAGCCTCCAATACATAACTGATCCCAAAAGAAACAGACAAACAACACAACCGAACAAGACAAAAAGGGTTGTATGTAGGGTAAAAGAAATTCAACAAAAAAGAGAAGGAAGAGTATAAAAGACAGCGTTACAGAAATGCTGCAGGTTTTTTAGGGCTTAGGGAACTGTCCTTTGTACATACCATTACTAAAAGCCTATAATATTATCAACATTAATATTATTATTACTACTTGTACCCCTAATTAATTAATTAAGTCTTCATAATGTTTTGCATGGATAAAGGCAACGACCAGACATTATAATATATTAATCCCACCAACTTGGGTGTCTTTTTATTTTTATGTAATTGGTTACTTTTACTTCGGGAAAAGGAACTGTTTTGTATAGTATGAACAACTAGGGTTTGTAAGCAAAACAAAAAGGGTTCTATTTTGAAGAGTGAAGAAAGAGTGGTAGGTGGTGCATAATGGGAACAGCGAGTGGCAGAGGGTCCCATAAGTGGGCTTTATATTGGATCCATCATGTTTCTTACATCTCTTGCACCATTTTGAGTACTCATTTCTCAAGAATTTGGGCCCATTTTTACCCCCAATTCCGCTCAGCCATATGAAATGGGGCACTAGATTAGGACATGACCATGCCTATGCCCGATGCCTTTGCCTTTGCCTTTGCCTGCTCTTTGTCACGCTTATATTTGTTCAATATGTGTGGTCTATATTGTCATATGTTGGGTGTTTCAGTTATGTTTATCAAAGACATGTTGTTTATAGTTGTATGTTGGGTGTTTCGATTTTGTTTATCCAAGACGTGTTATCTATGATCGTATGTCCATTCCAAACTCCTTTGACATACTTTCATCTCAAAGAGTTCTTTTACTATTTTATATTGTGATCGTATGTCAATTCCAAACTCCTTTGACATACTTTCATCTCAAAGAGTTCTTTTACTATTTTATATTGTGGCAATGCGCGAATGTATAGCCGATTACTAAAATTATGTCTACAATCATCAAAGCTAAAATTCTAAAAAATGTATTATATGAAGATGTGACTAGTTGTCACTTCTTCCTACCAAGTTATATGCTATCAAAGCCGTTGTTATTTCTAAAACATTTCTCTGAAATATGACTTGAGGCTTGAGCATACACTGACGTAATTTGTAAAGTTCAAATTTCTCATAACTAACTTATTCACTTGGTTAAAACAAATGTCACACAGTTATTATTCCGTTGCCGCCAGAGTGCGATTGTGACACCCTTCCCCTTCTCTACCCACCATTCACATGTGGTTATTCCGTTGCCGCCAGAGTGCGATTGTGACACCCTTCCCCTTCTCTACTGTTTACTACAGGCAAATAACTTCAACAAATTAACCTAATTTGTTTGTAACAATTCAAACCCACTTCTAGCAGATATTGTTTGGGCCTGTAACGTATCGTTGTCAGCCTCACGAAAATGAATCTACTAAAGAGAGGTTACCACATCCTTATAAAGAATACTCTATTCCCCTCTCTGACCGTGGGATCTCACACACAACTTAGAAGAGTAAAAGAGTAAAAGAAATGTTTGATTTGCTGAATTATTTTTTTGTATTCTACCAATCAATTGCTGTGTATGATTGGTACATGAATCTTTCTCTAAGGAATACAAAGGAATAGGATACAAAGATGTACAAATATATTTTCTATCAGAAATCTAATACTCTATACCGTAACTGTTTCAAAATTTCATTAGCTCCTACCTAAACCACTGTCGTTGAGGTGTGGGAACTAGAAAACCATCGTCCTTGCTCCAACTTTACTTTGATTTCGGATAAAGCTAAACTAACCAAGAAGAGGGCAGCAAAGAAGATGGAAAGAATCAGCATGAAAAAGACAGTGTTCCATCCTCTACTGGAAAGATATCCTGCCATAAGAGGCCCAAGAGCTGCCCCAATAGACCCAGTGCCATCGATGATTGCAGTCACGGTTGCTAAAGCTCGGGAATTCCCTGCAAGTATACTTTGAGTGCCGAGGTCAGCTGCAACAGCTGTGGTAATAAGTGAGTAGGGGCCATTGACAAGTAACCCCGAAAGAAACATCAAACAGGTGTTGGTGACTGTGGAAATGCTCCCAAAAGCACGGTAGAGAACTAAAGCAGGAATTGAGAGTAGCAGGAATGTTATTGAAGTAACTGCACGAGCATCGATCAAATCAGAGATTAATCCTGCTAATATTCCTCCACAAACACCTCCAACGTCGAAAATCGTGGACAGGATGCCGGCTGTTTTATGAGATAAATGCACACCAGCAACAGCTATCACAGCAGAAGATTACTAGTATAAGCAATTCACGCTTCAAAGCTAGATTTAAAGAATGATTTCAGGATGAACAGAGGTTGCCTTCTTTCACAATGGATTCAATATCATGCTGAACATATTTAGGTACTGGCCTTTCGATTTTATAGACAATTGCTCGATTTCTAGGCATTGGATTGAGTCTTTATACAACTAATGTAGTGTAACAACCCAAGTCCACCGCTAATAGATATTGTCCGCTTTAGCCGTTAGTCTCACAGTTTTAAAACACGTCTACTAGGATGTTAGGAAGAGGTTTCCACAGCCTTATAAAGAATAATTCGTTCTCCTCTCTAACCGATGTGAGGTCTCATAATCCACCTCTTTTCAAGGCTCAACATCCTTATAACGGTGAGGCTGATGGCGATACGTAATGAGCCAAAACGGACAATATCACTAGTGGTGGGCTTGGACTATTACAAATGATATCAGAGACAGACACCGAGCGGTGTGCTGGCAAGGACGTTGGGCTCCTAAAAGTGGTGGATCGTGAAATCCCACATCGGTTGGAGAGGGGAATGGAGCATTGATTGTAAGGATGTAGAAACCTCTCCTTAGTAGACGCGTTTTAAAACCGTCACTGTTGACGATGATACGTAACAGGCCAAAAAGGACAATATTTGTTAGCGGTAGGTTTGAGCTATTGCAAATGATATAAGAGCCAAACACCGAGTGGTGTGCCAGTGGGAACGCTAGCCCCCAAAGGGGGTGGATTATGAGATCCCACATCAACTGGAGAGGGGAACGAAACATTTCTCATAAGAGTGTGGAAACCTCTCCCCAGTAGATGCGTTTTAGAACCATGAGGCCGACAGTGATACATAACGGGCCAAAGCAAACAATATTTACTAGCCGTGGTACTGTGTTTTTCCGTAAAAGCAGCCTTTTAAAAGCTTCCAAGACACATTCATTCTATGATTTGCATTTCAAATGATAATTTCATTCATTAGCAATAAGAAAGAGGTACCTGTGTGTCTGATGTAAAATGGCAGCCAGTAGAGAAAAGTGTAAGCGACAAGCTTGGAAAAGAAGAGACAGCCAGCAAAAAGCGCAACACCCGGCAACCTCCACGCCTCTAAGAAGCCAATTGCAGGCATAGAATCTGAATGATGCTCAACATCAAGCAACACTGTTGCTTCTGAATCTGCGTTCTCTGATTTTTCAACTGGAATCGCCTCAGCATTCAATTCAGTCTCGCTAACACTAACAAAGGTTTCAAATCCAATGTCTTCAGGACTCACAACAAGAAACAGATACACCAAAATGGCAACAAAAATGGCCAAAGCACCAGGTACTACAAACGACCAACCCCATCCAATTTCCAAAATCCCAGAAGCTACAATCGATCCAATGATGTTTCCAATGGAAGTATGTGAATTCCAGACACCCATTATGAGTCCCCTCTTTTCTTTGCCACACCAATTTCCTACAATTGCCACCACACATGGCCATCCAATCGACTGAAATAGACCACATATAATCTGAACAGTAATGAAAAACAACAATACATGAAGATTTAACCAATATCCTAACCCAAATAGTATCGTGAAAATGCCACTACCCATCATCCCAAAAACAAGAAATAATCTCAAGTCCATCCGGTCACCAACATGCCCTGCAAAATACATTCCAATGGAATATGCAGAAAGAAATGCAAGATCAAGCTTCCCTAGCAACTGGATGCCGTCAGGTCCATTAAAAGGAGCCCACCCAGTTACATTTGAGGGCGGACTCAGCAAAATGTTTGATGAATTTACCGGGATTGTTGGTCCAAGCACACTCTTAACGATGCTCGGAGGTTTTCTCGAGGCATGGAAGGACGCATATGCAAGGAATGTGATGATTAGAACAAGTGTCCTGTGAAAACCTAAAGTTCTGTGCGGAGGTTTAAGGTTTGGGAACAAATCAATCGCTGGAGCCACATTGCGTCTGGATCGCATCCTAACCTATCCAATCCGTGAAGATAATTAAACACAGTAACTCAAGAACAACTAACGAAAACCCAAAAACAGATTAAAGATTGTGGTTCTTGTAGGAAGAAGATGAACGCAAATCAATTAAGGGCGTTGTACAATTTCTGGAAAATCAATGCAATCTGTACAAAAGAAAAAGGAACGATACGAAAACCCCTAACAATTTGAACCTTCCCGCTCTCCAATCTGCAAACAATCAGAACAAAGTGTCTGATTCAGAAGAATGGCGTAATAAAGATCCATCAAGAAAGAAATAGAGCTCTGAATCAGACACTGAAATCTCCGGGCACGAGAAGAATGGCGTGATAAAGATCCTAGAAATCGATCCTAAATCATCGGAATTTGGAGATGTAAGATTTTGTCCGAATTGATTACTTCGGACTTAAGGTTTGGATTTTAAGGACGGACGTAGGGTTCCGACGTCGACAGAAGCCCAATCTTTCGGTTTCGGATCGGAAGTTCTCGTCATCGCCGATGACTTACCGTTATCCATTTTGGACTTTGAAACTGTTTCCCATTTTTTGAAGTCTAAATTATTTAAATTAGCTTTCAACTTTATCTTCTCCTTCAAAAACATTTGGAAAACTAAAATTGGTGAATTAAATTATCCAAATATATATATATATATATATATTTTTTTTTTTAAGAAATAGTCAACCTTTCATATTTTTTTTTTTAATTTAATTTAAGAACACAAGTAAATTTGTAGTTAATCTCAATTTTATCTATATATTTTTATTATAATTTAAATTAACTGAATATAAATATATATATATCTCATTTAAACGGAGATTTTGCACTCCGTCTAGGGAGTTCCGTGGACGACACTAACTCTAATTTTTAATTTTTGTATAAATTAAATTATTACAATTTTTAAAGTAAATCGATTGAATTGTTATGCACCAAATTTTTGTGGAAAAAAAAGAAAAAAGAAAAAAAAACACTTAGACTCATTTGGTTGACTTTATTTATTTATCAGTGGACTAAACAAAGTGGGTTTAAAATGGTTAAAACAGTTGGTTGACCGAGGAAGATTTCATTAAACTTTAATTAGTTAAAATATAGATAATGTTTTGATTTATTAGGTTTGTATGAGCAACATGAATTTGTGGCCAATTTCTTCACAGCCACAACAAATTTCCTCCAAATGCTGATTGTGAAGAGCTATGGCGACACGACACCTCTGAACTTGTTTTAACAGAAAACCTTGGAAGCCCTTTTACAAATGCAAAAGGCTATGGAGAATATAATATAAAAAAAGTTTGGAGGAAATTAATAATAGACATGGGGGGTGTAGTGTAGCCCCAACAACAGCACGAACTCCCCATTCACATCAAAATTATTGATTTTCGATTGAAGAACCCCATAATTCAATTTGAAATCAGGGAGCTCTGAATTGGGTGTTCTTCAAGTTTATCATCATCATCATTATCATCCATTCCCCAAAACCCAAATGGGTTCGAGCTGTAGTCGTCTGGGGTCGTCGCGCCCTTCTCGCTCCCGAGATTACCGCACCAACCGCTCCAAATTCTGCTCTCTTTTCTGCGGTGCTTCCTCTTCTCGCGCGATTCATCAGGTCATTAAATCCTCTTCTTCTTCATCATCATCGAATCTTTTGTTCTCTCTTCTTCACCCATTTCTTTCCATTATTCGTGAACTTTACTCTAATTCCTCCTTGGAATCTTGTTTCAAAAATCTGGGGTTCCATATCTTCCTCTCAAAGATTGACCCTGAGTAGCATCTTTTATTAGGAGCTGTTTATAGCTTTCCTTTGATTGAAGTGTTTATTGGTTTCGTTTGAGCTCTGAATTGGGTTTCGGAATAGTTTTGATCGGAGTATTCCCCGGAATTAGGTTTGAACTGCTGTAGCTTTTGCAGTATGTTCCTGTTTGTTTGCTATTTGTTTTGCTTGCGTTTTTGTTGATTGTTGATGGGTAATGATCACTACCCGATTGCTTGGTGATTTTGAATCTTCAATTTGTATGTTATAATTAGTTTCTTACCATCTATGTTTGCCTTCCGCTCATGTTTTGAATCTTGGATTTTAATAGATGGAAGATTCTATGGTTCAATTTCTTGTCCACCCGGTGGAACATCAACACTGTAATCACAACATTGATGAACTTCAACTCCCCATAAATGGATCTATAAGAATGGGACAGAGCGCTTATTCTGAGAATGACATTGCAGTCAGTGAGGAGCAATGTGCTGTAGATGATATCAATGTTCATGGGAAGCGTGTGTATGATAATAAGGAATTAGCTCCTCTTCCACAGGTTAGTGCTGATTATAGCCATGAAGAATCTCGTAGCTATAGTAATGCTTCCAATGGTACTTCATGTAAAGGACATCAATCTTCCGAACCAGTCTGCACGAAGGTTATGTTTGCGGCGAGCAGTTCGACTACTCAAGAGGTTGGAGACTCATGTTCCAATGAGCTGACAGGTTGCATTCAAGAGGATGAGGCAACAGCTTACCGGAACCCAGACTCTGAATCGTTGCCTTGTCGTCCTGATCTTTCATTAACTATTGAGTCTCTTGGAGATGAATCTCTGCAAGAGGTACCCTCAAGTTTAGACACTCTTGTGTCTGATGATAGGGAGGTGGGCCAAGGAGATGTCGATATGGTCGGTGTTTCTTCCAATGTTTTATCTACGAGTAGCACTGATGCAAGTAATCTTGAGGCTAGAAGGAATAGCAGAAGACTGTTTTGGGATGCCTTTTCAAGGCGTAGTTTCAGAAGGCATAGTGAGTCTCCGTTTGTTTTCCCATCTAATAACTTTAGTAATACAGGAGATCAAGACAGGTGGCTCCTTGATATAAGTGGCGATTTTATCGATGATGAAGCGAGTGGCGATTCAAGACGTTTTTCCAGCAGAATTCACGTCTTGAACGAACAACAAAGAAACTCAAGATCTCAGGTTACATTCTGAATGTTAACAATTATGATCAGTCTTCCATTGTGTTTATACATGATTGCTTCTCAATTAGGTGCAGTTATGGGAAAGAATTCGAAGTAGTCTCAGTGAAAACAGTCGCCAAAATCTACCTTGCCCATCAGGCATTCATCCTAATGGTGCTTGTTCATGCGACTCGTTCTCAAGCGTCGAACACTCGAGCACCCGTGAAAGCATATCGCGGATAATCATGCTTGCTGAAGCACTATTTGAGGTACTTTTTGGAGTTCAAGTGCTGTGTAATTCAACAGGTATCTCACATCTTGTTCTTTGTGTATCTAAAGGTCTTGGATGAAATTCATGGTCAGCCTGTTTCTCTTGCTCTATCCATGGTTTCACTCCCTGCACCAGAATCAGTTGTTGACTCTTTTCCTTTGAAGAACCACGAAAAGAAAACTAATGGAGGGGATGAAATTGAGCAGTAGGTTCTCTCTTTTCGTTAACCAAGTACTCTTGTTTAGTTCTAATTTAGGATTGTTTACAAATACTTGGTTAGATGCTACATTTGCCTCGCCGATTACGAAGAGGGTGACAAAATAAGAGTTCTTCCTTGCCGCCACGAGTATCATATGTCGTGCGTCGATAAATGGTTGAAGGAGATTCATGGGTATGTTGTGCCTATACATCATCAATTACTGCTCCCTTTTTATCTATTTTATGTCTAGGTATCATTTTACTCATGGATTCATCTCCCTGTATCACTGTGTTTAACAGAGTATGCCCACTTTGTAGAGGGGATGTTCGTGCAGGCTCGAACGATGAATGTTCGATTTCAAACTTGGAAATTCCAGCAACAATTTGATGAATTGTATAATCAATGAAACTAGCGATAAGGAAACTTTCGTAATCCTGTTCCCTGTTAATACTGGGGATGAATTGAATCCCCATGGTTTTGTAAGGCATTCATATTGTACAGCTCTTTCAGAAGAAATATTTGCACAAGTTTCTAGTTTTACCCTGAGCATAAAAGCTCGAATGAATATCTGGAAAAGCCAGTTTGGTTTGAATCACGCAGACATTTGTACAATATACACCAAAAAAGGAACTGTATCAAGACAACAGATAACCAAGACAGGGAGACGGTAATTTCAGCTCTATGCTTACAAATACTTGAGAATTATAAGCACCAACACTGAAAGCCCTTTGGGTTTGCTAATATTGTTGTTGAAGGGATTTGGCTGGCACTTCTTGTCGTCATCAAATGTCGTCCATCGCATCGAGTTGCTGCCATTATACGAGTATTTGAGGTTGGGATTTGTGGAGTTGAGCTCTGATTGGACTCGTGAAAGCTATTTTCTTCAATCCTCTCAACTAAAACCTTCTGATTACGAACAAAATTAGGACACGAAAACGAAACAAAAGCACCAAATTTACAAGCCAACGCCATTGAAGCAAATCGTTACCTTGTCAATGGAGAAATCGGATGGAGAACCATTTGAATGCAACTTCCTTTTTATTATTTAGTGCTGGGAGCCTTCCCAATTGGACTCGTTGCAATCTGAATTGAACTTGAAGAAAACCAAAAGGCTTCACTGTCACATCTTTGGAGGGCCAATGGAGCTGTCTCATCCTCTGTTTCGTCTCTCTTCCATTTTGTCAACCCATTGAAACCCCATTGCTTCTTTCCAGATTTGTTCAATCATTTCTTCAGAATCAGGGCCATAATTTCCTCCACCGTCAACACCACCGCCGCCACCGCCATGTCCTCCCTGAAACAGAGACCTAAAAGGGTCATCGTTTTGTCTTTTCCGCTCTCATCTCCTTGTTTGAACTTTCCGCCATCAGAATTGACCATTCTTCTTCTAAATTCTCTTTCAGAGATTGGTGCTTGAAAATTCTCCTCCCAATTGAAAATTCTCTTTCATTGACTTTTATTTAAATGATTTATCACAAAAGAACTCTACCAGCACAAAAAATCCATTCCTACCATGGTCGCACTTTCTTTTGAAATTATGGCAGGATTATGCAAGTTTGATCAACTACCAAATTTCAGAAATGCAGATCTCCTGAACTGCAGTATACTGTATACAACGGCATAGAAGTGTTGTATAGAATGAGAAGATCCTGGAAAAGAAAAACTTTAGATTATTATTATATAGCCCTGAAGATGCATAACAAGGAATACATATCAATCTCATGTTCTACAACATATCACATCATTCCATCTAGATTCTCACATACAAAACTACAAATAATTACAATGGACGGTAGACAAATGAAATTTTATTTGGTGTGCAGTCAAATAGCTACACATTTTTTAATGAATAAGATAGCTACATGGATTTTCAACAATATTGTCCCCACATAATCCACAAGAGAAAGTAAGTCGCATCAAAATGTGGTTAACATTGACTGGGAACAAACTGGCTTGGTGTATACTGCAAAAGTGATTTCCAGCCATAATGTATGCGAATATAATAAACAACCCACAAGCCTACAACAAGACGACACATCTTCCGAGGGCTATATCCTTCTAAAGAACTCAATTTGAATTTGGGGTCAGAAGTACGTCAAGGGATACAGTTGGGATGGATCAAAGGAAGGTAAGTTTGAAAATTAGCACGCCCAATCAGGTCATTTGACAGTGAAGTGATTCATAGGCTAGGTGTTAGGATGTTGCAACCTTGGGAGATCGATCAATCAATTCATTACATTTACAGATTTACGAGTAGGATACACAAAATGGAACACATCTTCAGAAACTACAACATCGAAACAGTTAAAGCAAGTTATAAGGGTTTAAGCATTCAATTGGTAGCAGAAAAATGTAAAAATTCTATAGTTCGTCCCCACATGCTAGAGTAAAGATTTCAATTTTTGAGTCGTATGAATTCACTATTTCGTAGTTATCTACATCTGTTGCCGTTGTCTACTTCAAGTCATTCTTATGTATTAAAGAATCAAAGTCAGACATAAGGATCGATTGAACTATTAGGTTGCAAACATTAACAGGTCTGGGAAATGGGAACAGACAATATTTGGAACTTACAGCTTCGGATAGCATCTCTCACATCTTCATATAATTGTAGAGTATCAAACACTACTTGCATTTGCATCCTTATCAAGCATTGAAGAATAGAGCTGACAATCACCCAATTTGTTTTTATACCTTTTGACAACATGAAACTGTGAAGAGACAAAGCCTTTTTTTGCATAACTTCAACATCTTGCATAACTTCAACATCTTGCAATAACCATTGATCAACACTCCATAAGTTTGTGCATCTGGAACTACTCCATACTTTTCCATATCGAGAAAAACATTTTCTGCCTTGTTTACTTCCATCTCTTCACAAAATCCACGAATTACTACAAAGTAAGCATACACATCTATCGGGGCCTGTGCTGCTCTCCAATCTTGTAGCAACTGATACCCGTAAGCTGAACAACGGTGGGTACACAACCCTTCAATATATGCAGTACAAGCAAAGGCATTTGGGACCACCCCAGCTTCACTCATCTCCTCAAAAATATCTTTAGCTTCTTCCATATTACCCATTTTACAGAGTGCTTTTATTACATTAGCATAAGTATAATCATTAGGATGAAAACCAAACCTCTTCAACTGCTTATACACAGTTAGAGCCATATTCAATTTACCATGCTCGATAAGGCGGTTCAAGAGAAAATTACAAGTAAAAATATGTGGAACAAATCCCTTCCTTTCTGATCGGAAAAGTAAGTCCACAGCACTATCGAACAAGCTAACACTAACATAAGCCTTGATCAACGCATTGTATGCTCGAATGAATGAGCAATCCATCACATATCCTTGATTAAGTGATTCAAGCAAATCTAAAACATCAAATTCTGTTTTCTCGGAGCCAATAAGATTCAAGAACAGAGAGTCAAGCTTTCTCTCCAAACCCCAAGAGCACAATATCCTAATGAGAGCTGCATAAGTAGAGATGTTATGACGAAAGCCCCGTTCCCATTGCTTTTAGCCACTACACAGTGCATAGCCTGTTAAGTAGACCCCTCAAATTCATACCATAAGTATCTTGAAACCTTAACAAACGCAGTCTCAGTTAACAGTTTACCTTTCCCGAGAAGGGAATTAGAGAATTCAGAATATTGACATTCCTCCCAGAACTGCCAATGGTGACAGAAGGGATGCATTCCCCCAAATAATTCAGCTGCAATAACCATAAGCATTCAATTAAAACCAACATACAATAGTGTAGGATATATTCGTAGTATTTCAATCATAAGAAACTCATTTCCCTAAATAATTCAACACTGACGATCAAAACTAATTCAACAAGGTGGGTTGGGAGATTCAACCTAGGAGCGTTCACTTCTAATAACGACTTCCAATAAAAAAAAAGCATCCAATAGCTACCAATTCAAGGGGGGAAATGTATCCGAAAATAACCCGCCATTGAGGTGCAAGTGTTGAAAGAAATTGGCTAAACTATTTTAATTCTAATATCTATGACGTTCGGTTGTTAGAGAAAATTTGTATGCGATGGATTACTGCCACTGGTTTTAGATAAATAAAGAAGATGCATTGCAATTTTCAGCAGAGCCCAAAGAGATATACAGATTATCAAACCATCAATTAACAGAAACGTGCAACAAATCAAAGGGCAGAGTGTAGCACACGGCAGTTCAGTTCGAAAAGACCCCGATTTGCCGCAGTTTTTTTCTTTCTTTTTCGTTGCTATTCTGATGTTGTCATAAAAAATAAAAAAATAAAACGAAGAATGGACAGAGTGAGATTGATAGAATACCAGCAACAGCAAGAGAGTAGAAAATCAGAGCAATCCGCTAGGAGGGAGGCGCGCAGAACGAGAGGAAGAGAGACGGCGGTGGCGGCAGTGAACCGGGGAGTTGTGGCGGCGACACTGGGCTGCTGAAAGGGAGGAGGAGCAGGCGGGAAGAAGCGGAGCATGAGTGAGGGGTAAACGAAAGGCTTTAGGTTCCCTCTTTCGTTTATTTGATTTTAATTTATTCGACAAAGTGGGCTCTTTAAAAGATTTTTTTTTTTTTTTTTTTTTTTTTTTTTTTTTTTTTTTTTTTTTTTTTTTTTTTTT